GGTTGCGCCTCCCACTTGACCCACCTTGCCGTAATGTTTAATTTCAAAGACGAAATGATCAACCATTCCTTGAGCCATGTCCACCTGTCCATCGACTAGAAGGCCGAGAGAGATGAAATACGAATCCCAATTGTATAACTACCCGCCCCACCAAGCTTCAGTGGAACCTTCCCGATTAACAAGATCAGATGCACAAACTTCGTTGAATCGTGCCCAGGAACCACGAATGGAATGCCTTTTAGGGAGGTACCACCGTGCCCGTCATCAATTTCGCGCATGGCGAGGGCCAAAATTCCCGGTTTATCATTCAGGCTCTGTACAAAGTAAGGATTATCGCATTTCTCTGGGAGAACGGATACCTGGAGCCCCAGATGCGGCTTTTCTCGTGCAACCTGGCGATAATACTCGGCCATCCTGGGCTCTCCGTGGGGTACGTAGATGAGGGGCCTGATATTAGCAGTTCGGTTTTTGGGATCTGCGCAGATGATTTCTAGACCATCGCCATCGATCCGTCGGGTGAGAGCATTCCAGAATGAAGTCTTGATCATGCGAGAGAGGCGGTCAACAGGGTTCTCTGTTAGTCGACTCTCGTCGAGAACGATCCGTTTGCGCCCGTGATCTTTAGCAAGCGCAAGCTCTTGAAGAAGGTTAGAAAGCATGTATGTCCCCTATGAATGCGAAAGTCGTCTTCAATCGACCCACTAAGCTCCAGCTTGGAGGATAAGCACTCACCCGAATATCGAAAGATTTGAAACCATTGCTTGTCGCTGTACCCAGTGACATGATTTTTGGCCCAGAATCGGTGATGCTGATCTATGATGGGGTGTGATATGATAAAGAATAGGATCAGCTTGAAGGCATGGGTGGAAGGAGCCCACCTGGAAATCGCCATCGGTGTCCTCTTGTTCCAGAACGATTCGAATGGTTTCTTCGACATCGACAAGGAATCGACGAGGCCCTGCACTCTCGGTGGCCTTCTCATCTAGAAGAACCCATTATGGTAAGCACATTGTTCCGCTTTGGGAAGTGCGGTGATGGTACTCGCCATGCGATAGCCTGCGTTGCTTGGGGTCACGATTCTGAATTATGGGCTTGCGTCGATAATCCTGTAGAAGATATGCATCGATTGAGTCCAGTGGATGTGGTGCTGGTGGACGAGAAGAAAAAAAGAGACCAACGTTGCTATACGTGCGAGCACGGGTGTGGACTTCAGGACCGCCATAGTAGACATGAGAGGCAGCGTTATAGGCAGGATGCTCGCCTGAGTCGAAAAACTTTGCGCTGGGCGCTGTGCCCAGAGTTGGGGGAGGCATCCACGATCGATATCTCAAATCGTCAAATGGTATGCTATCGTAGATGAAAGATGATGCGGAGATGGTAGCTTAAAGGTGTGTAGATGGTGTTGAGGGGGGAAGTCAACAGGCGCTGGCTAGCTTGTGGGGAAGGTGTAATTATATGGGGAACGGTCAAACCGCCTCGTGCCGGAATCCGTTGCCATACAAAAAGGAAAAAGGTCACTACCCCTGAACACCCTGCTTAGGTGGGCTCAGTAGTTCCTCCCTCCCAAACTTTGCAAATTGCCTTCCCGCTCCCCACGGTACTCATATCCTTTGGCTACACCTCACAGCAGAAACAAAATAATAAAAACAAAAAATAGCGCCGCGGCTCATCGGGCCTATCAATATCTTCCATAATTGCAGGGCGACCAAAGTGAGCGCTACTAGACATCCGAGCGGATATCGAGGAGGCCGAAAGCCCGAAAGGTGCCTAAATGAATCGTCGCAAGAACCCGACCTCCAGCGCTCGGGATTACGACTGCCAGCACTAAAAATTCAGGAAATAACGGGGAGAATCCCAAACTGAAAACGAGGGGTGTGCACTGGCCTCGAATAAAGGGTGACGGATTTGTCAGGGTGGGAGAGAGATAGTTAATGACCCACGATAAGCCTCGCGCCGACTGGGGAATTACTGAGAAATGGTTTCGCAAGTTGCGCTGGTAGACATACATGGAAACGTCCAACCGTACATAGCGGATACGGATGGCAGATGGCTTGAGGCCTCGAGTCATTTGCTAGAACATCGTGGTGAAAACACCTGTGCCTACGACAATGGGGGTATACAGGCTAGGGTGCATTCTCCCAGACTCTTCCTTTTTCCCAGAACTCTAGAAAATAGGAAGAGGAGATAAGGAATGGACATGCTCCCGCGGTCTCGTGCACGAGTTCATTCCCAAGGTATCGGACGGCCTTCTCGACACGCGGCGCACGAGTAACTGAACGAAGTGTGTGTGATCCAATGGCACATTCATAGGGTGAGAAATAAGCAACGCCAAGTTCCCTCGCAATCGAGGAATCGCAACGCGTACCAAAAACGTGACATTACTTACATCCGGTGGCGCGCCCAACCAAGTTGGGGTTCATGCTACCCAAAGAAAGCGCGTCTCTGGACGCGCCGGAGGGCGACGAGTTCGACGAGTTTGACTTTAGGGAGTTCACACAACAGGATTGGGATCTCGTGACCGCGATTGAGGCAAAAGCGCAAAGCGCGTTCGCCGAGCCCACCGTCGTCGTGCAACCTCCCACCCAACCGGCTCCTGCAGCGGTAGATATTGCACCACCAGTAATGGCGCGGCCTGCTCCTCGCGTGGCTCGCAGGAGTCTCCTGGCCACCTACCGCCAGCAGGGTTCGCTCTCTGTGTCAGATCTTGTTGGCCCGCATTGGTGCGAAGTCAAGTTCGACTACAGCTTGAGATGGGGCAGCAGGTGGGACAAAGTCGCTCAGAAACCTCCAGAGGTAATCACTGCACGTGGAAAACGCATCCAAGTGAAGAAGTTGTCCGCGCAGAAAAGCGAGTCAACAATGGAGGCGGGTCGCGTAAGTAAAGTGTGTTTCTTTCTCTTGGACAAGATTCATATCCTCCATTTAGGCTGTGCATAAGAAGCTGGAAAAGGCTCTCCAGCCGGCACAGATACGTATTCCAGTGATTTCACCAGAGGAACGGTGGGGATCGAGGTGAGACACTGTCAATTACTCTTTCGCCGCCTACAAAACAACAAGATTGTTTCTTCGAAAGGATTTTAACCATGTTATCTGGACTCCAACTACTTCGAACCCTGGGATATTGCGTATGTAATCTTAGGCGGATACCGGGATCATCCTTTAGACTTACTAGTTCATACAGCGAGAGTTCCCTGTCATGGGCTATATCGACGGGATTTTGGTCCTTGGTATTATTGTGTGTCTTTCCCTCTCTTTGATTGTTTGCATGGACTTACGCATCTTGAACAGGACGAAATTGTCCGGAAACCCACGCTAGTTCCTCCAACTTCCTCTACCAAGGGAAAGCAGAAGGCAGATATCCCACGACCACATCAACCTCTTATTACTAAATTCTTCCAATATGCATCCCCACAAGATCTATCATCTGCGCAACCCGGTGTATCCCAACCCGTCCAAACATATATTTTGCATTTAATTGACAACAAGACCAGAAATAGCCCAACCGTCCCTCCTCCTCGGGACCGCTTCCAATCGCAACTTCAACTCATGCTATACAAACGGCTCTTATCCTCTCTCATCACATCGACGACCTTCGCCTCTATCATGGCACAGCTCTCACTAAAAATGCATGCCCCCTTTTCCCAGCAATTTCTCCATGCCAAGAAGATTCTATGTATCTCCAACGATCTCAGTAAGCGAGTGCATAAAGCTGATTGTGTGGCAGACTTGGCCGACGCCTGGAATGAAGCCGTCGGGGAACTCGACATCGGCTTTCATGCGGGAGCCGAAACCGGCCTCGACGTGGAAGGATCAGGTATCGAAGACGAGCTGGAACTCGTCTATCGCGAGAGGCCAGACCCGTCGCGATCACAGTCTTTGAACAACTACAAAGGGAAACGGAAAGGGAGCCCATCCCCCGTGGACACCCCACGAGATGGCAAGAGGAGTGCGACCCCACACTCGAATATTGGTTCATTCACACTAGAGGTGGATGCTGCACTGCTCAACGTGGATTTGGGCGTTGGATCCCCCGGACCACACCTGGCAGTACAGTACGAAACAGTTAATTCCGCGCTTACCATCAATGGAGTCGAGAATGACGATGAAAATTTGGCCCTGGCATGGGCCATCCAAGAGAGCCTCCAACCTCCCTCTACGGCTGGCACACATGACAAGTTAAACGACCCTTGTAAGACTCGCCTTCGATCATCTTTGTCTTGTTTCAGGCAGTGACGGCATTTCCTGTGATGACAGCTTTTGATGGAGGGATAGCTGGGGCCACGGGAATACCGGTGGAACCACACCCAATAACGGTGCAGGAGCCCGAATCCAGGGCATCGACTTCGACGCCCATACCTCAATCCGAAAGCCTGGCCGCCGTCTCCTCACAGATCGTAGAGGAGCAGGGACAAGACAGCACTCGTTCTTCCCCGGCCCCTGCACCCCCGGTCACAGCCTCCCCACCCCCCACAGTTTCCCACGTTCGCCAGGCTGAAAAGAATCTCGCACCTATTATAGGGATTCATAAATTCCAATATTCAGCTGAGATTTTGAACGACTACCTCGTGAAAGTGCTTCGTTTTTGGCGTGGCGAGCGGGATGCAGCGGGGGTGGAGATTGAGGATGCTAGTCGGTGCAAGTGAGTCCTAGAACCCCCTCTCTCTTTGCCACGCACTGGTTTCCCTCTTTTGTGCTGCTTACGGTCCGAAAAATTATTGCGCTTTCTAGTCATTGTGAATTCAGAGATGGCTGCGAGTGGCGTGAGGCCAAGGCAGAGGAATTCGCCACGGTGCGTCCTCCCACTCCAGATCTTGCCTAGAATCGCCATGGGGACACTTGTGGGTTCTTGTTTGTTATGTGTTTATATGTTGTATGATCTTTTCTGCGCTTGGCTAGATGGACAGGAAATGGATTGTAAAATGGATTGTATTATTCTTAGGCGTATATACGGAGACCACGTGAAGGGTCGAGGAGGCAGAGGAAAATACGAACGCACGGGCGGTTGCGTGGTCTAACGGTTATGACGTGTCTTTCACACAGACAAGGTTCCGAGTTCGAGACTCGGCGCGGCTATACTTTTGAATCCAGCTTCCAAGCTTGGCCAAGGTGACATTCAAGCACATCAGCGGACTAGCTTTCTCTAATTAATATTGCTGTGGTTCACGCCCTTGGCGGGCTTTCCGGTCACTATGGTCGTTCGAGAGACGACGAGAATAATACATGGGATGGATAGGTGGGATAAAATGAAGAGGAGAGCACATGGCTTGTCAGTGTACCCAGTGGATCATGGAGAAGCGGAGGGTCAAGTAATTATAAGCGGCAGGCTTCTGTGTAGACGAGATAGTTCCTTAAGAGTACCAATAACAGGTGATAACGATCTCATGACAGACTCAGGGTGTTAGTCTAGGGTCCTCATGCTCGGCACCCCACAGCGAGCATTGCGTCGGCGCAGGCGACGAGGACTTGCTTGTGTCGACAAAGACACCTGCGAATGGCGCCAATGGACTCTGCAAGCTTCAGTCGCGCTTGTTTGGATCCGTTGATGAGTGGTGCCGATGGCACGTCCCTTGACCACCTTAAGTAAATCGGATCCGGAAAATGGGTACACTCGCCTCCATTCGATGCTCGTCCTCGCTCTGGCCTTGAGTATCGCTCTCCTCGCGATCAAATTGTATCAATGGCTACATCGCTCTGGGACTCGCAGCCCAGAGTCACCAAATACCTCGTCGACTGAGAAGGGCCCACAGACACCCAACGAGGCCGAGGACAAGCGTGCGCCGACCGGGTGGTATGCATCTCTAATATATAACCTCCCGCTCGCCCCCCCTCCTTAATTCTTAACGAGGAACACAGATTGGAAGCCAGTGCCCTTTGGTTATCCTGCTTCAACCCCGACACCGAGTTTGATATTCTAACCACCAAAACTCCTGCGTATCGCCCTTTCCGATGGGGCCCAAATTATTTGTGCGGCTTACATGCATCTACATTAATTCTATTTCATCATCGTGCTTCCCTTCCAGTATCACCATGGGCATTCGTAGCATGGAATGGGACGAGTGGCTTCAGGTACATCGTGATTTCCAGCCCGTTGTCCCTGAACGTATCCTCACGCTCAAGCTGCGACAGCTCGACAATCGCTTCCCTGCATACCACGCCATAAAGGTACATCGCATGGCCACACTAGGTGACAGTGTAGTACGCACGCTTCCCGCAAGTCCGGCATTCCTTGTGGGACTTTAGCGGGTGAGCACACAATTCCCTCCTATACCATTCCTCCTATCTATAGACACGCACCCTAACACCTCAAATTCTCTATTCGTTCCTTTACATAGCGAAAGAACTCGTGCATGAAATGGCGGAATACCTGTCCCGGAGGTTTCCACAGGTGTATAGTGTTGTGCGCAAGCCTCACGTCTCAGACGATTTTGGGTGGCACGGCGAGGGCGAGATCCACAGGATTACGATCACCCCGCTCGGCGTCACCTATGACTTGGCGGTAGAGGATCCCATGTCTGTTGCAGGCCTCCTGTAAGCTGTGATGTTTTTCTCTTATGTCCCCTCACCCTTCCTAATCCCATTTTCTGTTGTGTTCGTGGGGGTGGACAGGGTCCAGGACGACCTGGCCTTAATGTTGGAAGGCAGCGATGGTCGATATTATTTCCAAGCTGGAACCATCTGTCTCCCAGGTCAAGTCAAGGCAACTTTGTGTCCGTGTATCGTCAGGAAACTCATTATCGCCTCTTCACAGGATCCTGGAGATTAACGGACAAGATTGGTCTCCCTCTCGAAGAAATTCATATCCGAGGCAAAGTGCCCCAATGTACGTTCTCCTTTCCAGAGTATCACCTATTCTATCCCTTCCTCACTCAAACTAAACTCCTACATAACCTCGTCACTTTTACCAGATGAGCAAAAACTGATGCACAGCATGGCCCGCTTCTTCACGAAGATGCGCGTTTCCAAGCCCGTCACGCGGCACAACTACTTTATCCAGGTCATCGACCCCACGCAGGCCAATTCTATCGACCCGGACGAGCTCGCCTGGTCCGAAATGACCAGCGGGCCCGAAGACGTATTCGACCAGGCGACGAAGCAGCCCTCACTCGCGGCACAGGCGTCCGGAGGCATCAACTTCCAGCCGCCGCAGCCGCCGCACGACGTGCGCGACGTGAGGTTTAGGACGGAGAGGCAGAGTTTGAGGAGATTGCCCCGGAGCGGGGCGATCGTGTTTACCATCCGCACATATATCGATCCGATTGTGGAGCTCGCTAAGGAGCCTGGGGTACCGGGTCGCTTGGCGAGCGGGATACGGAGTTGGCCTGAGGACGTTGCTTCGTGAGTCATTGCATCTTGTTTCATTGGCTGTTTCCCTCCAGCCGGGATAGGTGAGCATTAGGAACAGATGATTGATGTTTCTTTCTTCTCCGTGATGGGCAGGCACAAGGGCCTCCCACTCTATCGTGATGTCACGCTCCCTTACCTGGATGCATGTCATTCAAGACAAGTGGCGGAAGGGAGATGTGTCGATGGCAAGACCCAAACGAACTATCCATTCTAGAGTGCTTACCTCGCCCACATGTTGAATTCAGTACATTAGGCATATGCAATTCAGTGTCCATCCGTAAGTCCGTGGCACGTTCGAAAGGAGCGTAAAACACAAGCCATAGGGTTCCATGGGACCAACGCTGAGCCCACCCGCGAGCTAGAGAGAAACACCTGTCTAAAACTGACTCGACACGAATGGCACAGAGGCTGGACGACTGCGCTGCGCTGTACTACTAATGGTGGTGGTGGTGGCGTGGCTCCCACTTTGGACTTTGAATTCCTTGGGTCTCCAGTTGAAGCTATCCACTGTCTGCTCACTGGGCCGGGCCTGCCTGCGCGGAAAGTAACAGCCAGGTGGTGTCCCGATGAATAATTATCATGTGCGAAATCGAACTAAAATGGCTGACTCCCGGGGTTTTGACTTCCTGGCGATCGCATACAAGTAGAATAACTCATCTCTGATAACAAGGGAAGAAGAATTGGATACTCCGGTATGGAACTGTAATCATCCACATTCCATTTATCGTGGTAGTCGGACAGAACACACATGCATTACACGCCGACTTCCAGGAAATACTACAGAAGGGGGGGGACATCGCTCACGGACAACTTACTACTTCTAGCATTCACAGAAACTCAGCTATATCCACCGAACTACTTGAATGTGCCAACCCCAGGCCATATAAGTAAATGCATCACGCGATTATTGTCGTACCTCGCCCCCGATGTTGAATGTATCGAGGAGGCTTCAATTATTCGTCCAGCGGACCAGGTTTGCCTGCAGACGAAAAAAATACGAAGATGAGCCTATTGGATTGACACCAGATTCCCAGACAAGCAAAGCGAGGAAAATATTCACAGTGTAAAATGCCCTGCCCCAACAATGACATTGCAACAAGTTCCTGGCCATCGATAATCCCAGTGGATGTCGTGGGGTATTGGGATCCATCACTGTAATACACGGTCGTGAACTCGTATTTTGGGTGTGGGGGAAGGCGATCCGAGGTCTTCACGAAAGGAGCTGCGAGGTCATCGGGGGGCAGAACCGTGCCCTTCGGATATGGTTTCCTCTGGGAAATTTGGATAATCCAACTCGGGGAATACGGACGGATGCCATACGCGAATTCCATCATCTGGGGGATATGTGGATTACCGCTGAGAATGAGGTTTCCGCTCGAGTCGTATTGGAGATTGTCTGGGGGAAACGGAACGCGGAGCTTCTCACGGAGTGTCAATTTGTTCGTTGCTGAGTCTCGATCGTAGAAAAGAAGGATGGATGTACTGGATGATGCGACGACCAATTCCTTGCCATCTCGGGAGAGGACCAACCCTATATATATCATTAAAAAAACCTGAGCCGTCTTCCTTACTTGTAGCCGGCGAAATATATATATATATTTACCATTTGCGAAATTGATAAAATTCGCAGCCGTGCTGTACTCGACCCTGCCGCTCGGGAGAATTTCGACATATGTAACCCAACCTAGAGGTGCTTGGTGGAAGGTCTCGAAGAAAGACAGTTTGGCGATCCATTTAGGCATGCGCGCGGTGAAGCGATGGTCAATCGAAACGTATAACTGCGTTGGAGATATCGCCGCTATGGAATTTGGGGCGTGTACGAAGGGATGCGAAAGGGTCTGGTTGTAGACGGCTTTGTATGGAGCCTTGCCTGAGATTGTGAATATGTCCACGACACTGGCCTTGATATCAAGGTTGGCGACAAACGCATATGCAGGTTCAGTGGCCGTTGCTGGGATAACATCGACACCGAGGGGATGAAAGGCACGAGCGGCAGGGAAGCCGACGGACTCGACTGGCTGAAGAGTCTTATCGTTTTCGTAGTCGTAAATCCAAAGAGCCCCGGTATTGCTGGGGTCGACCATTACACCCTGCAATTAGAGGAATGAGATGAGGAGAGTCCCGTTTGAATCTTCATCAAACACAGACCAGGATTGGGTTCCACTCCTTAGTGAAGAAAGACCATTAGTGTCTAGAAACCCGAGGTGTGCATGAAGAGGACGCACTGGTCTCCCTGGATCACAAGTTATGAGGAGCTTTTTATGTGCGATACGCACGCCATCCTCGCAATGGCTGATCTTAGACGGGTCTGGTTGGGTGATGACCTCGCATGTCTTGTTTGCGTTTCCGGCGAAATAATATCCCGGCGTAGGGATGGATGTTTGGAGATTATTCAAGGCGAAGTTGAATTGCTTCCATGCTGGTCGACCAACTTCCCATATCCAGAGAGCCTGTAGAACGATGTTATGTTAAGCACGGACGAGATCGTAAGAATGAGACTGACTATGGCGACCAGCAGTATCTGAGTGATCAGGGTGATGTTCTTAAGCATACGACGATGATGATGTGGGGGCCCCGGGGGGCATTACGCACTCTGTGTAGATATACAGTACTCGTAGGCCTTAATAAGTCATTTGAGTCACATCTGTCGACCTCCGTCAGGACCCCTGCGATCTGGGGATTGCGAAAAGTAACGAAAAAGGGAACCTTGGTCGTTCGCTTATCTAATT